CCCTTGTCTATTCTTAATATCAATACAATAATTTTTATTCACTCTTGAATCAGTAAAGAATAGAATTGGGTTCATTGCTTTCATGTGAAGCACTTGCCTATATCGTTTTGCTTACATGATATTAAGAAGTACCGTACTTCTAAAATCTTCTTATATGCCTATAAACAAATCAGACACGAATATTTGTGAGGCAAAAATATATGCATTATTACAGAACGTGATACATTGTAGGAAGCCCTGATATTTGGAAGTAGTTTGTGGATGATAGAAGTTAATGATTTTGGTTAAATCGGGTTGGAAGCACTTCATCTGAGACAGTCCAGTTGTTGGCGTGGCTTTCCTGTACGAAGCCTTCGGGTATATCTGAATAGCCGCCAATGAAAAATCGATTGTAAGATTTGCTGGTGTGTCTCGTAGAAAGACAGCTTGTGGGGGGGGGGGTGTCAAAGAAGAACTTATATGGTAAAAGAAGAAATAATTAAGAAGATAAGCAGAATAGAGAGTTGGGAAAATTGAAAGTCAGAAGTTTGTTAGGATAAACGTCACACAGTTAAAGTGCAGTGAACATTTATCATTATATCATCGACATCTTTGATGTATCAAGCTTCACGTTTGCTTTAAGTGAAAATCATCATTTTAAATATACAAAAATAAATCGAACCTTTTGTATAAAGAAGACTATACCGCTTATTGTTTTGTGAAAGCTCTGTTGCATTTAGAAAATATTCTAATAGATTTTTCTCATCAAATGCTAAGGTTACTAAAACTAGAGGATTTGAGTGTAATATTTCTATTTAAAGAAAGAAGTTAAATTCACATTAAAATTGAAACAGTCGTAGCTATTTCTTCTAGCACAAACATGTTTTTATAACTTTCACTTGGTTATACGCATGCCAAATTATTAAATGTTAATTCTTTCAGTTTTTATATACATACAAAATAAATGTATAATATAAATATAACATTTACAGGTATTTGCTATTGGCGACAGTCATTGCTGCACCGGAAAACACAAGCAACTTCGCAGTCAGAAAGATATTCGTGTAGACGCTAATGTAATTTTTTTCAAACTTTCTAAGATCTTGTGAAGTTCACTATATTCTTAAGCAGAAAAACACCTTTTTTTGTTTTTAGATGGAACGATGCTGGTCAATAAAGGAATCAAGTAAATAATGATTATTTGAACAGTATATTTTTCTATGTACAGATTAGATATCATAGAAATGATGCAGTGTCATGCTTAAACTTGCTCTCATCAATCACTTGTGCTTTTATAAAAAAAATTCCTCAAATCCGAAACAATCAAGAAAAACAAATATATATGTAGGCTTTGATCAAGTCAAAATTATGATTTCAGTTTCATAATGTGGCATTTCCTGAAAGAGGTCACTTATCAAAAATTTTCGACATGTGAGATTTTATATTTCAAATAATCAAATTATTAAAAAAAAATATCCAAATGATGAGGTTGAAATACTAGACAGAGAAAATCACTGGAAAATACGAAAATTTAAGTAATCAGCACATATGCTAGGCCCAAAAATCTTCTAAGCCAGCCAAGCATAGAAATGAATACAATATGGGAACTAGTAATACGGAGTGCGAGAGAAAAGCAATAATAATAATAACAAAAATTGCAATATGAGCTCTGGTAAAAAAAAAGGTTACTGTGACATTAAGTTTATAAGTCTCAAAAATTCATACAGTGATGTCCTCAAGTGGATAAAAGCGTTGGTTGGATCCAGTGACTTGATCCAAATAGCTGTGAGTTCACTACTGCAGTGGTGAACAAAAGCTTGGAGAATTGAGTTAAAGGGAGATAACTGAGAACGATCTACCTCGATGGACGAAATAAAGGGTTCGATTCGAAATTTCAATTACCTGAAGGAGGCCGGAGCGTACAACGGTCGGAACGTCATGAATATGACAACAAAGATGTGGACAACAGTCCAAACAATCGTGTAAATAATAAAATATCCAAAATAAATATGCCAGTGTGCATAAGTATTCAGTACACACTGTCTACGGATATATAGTACATTGCACTAATAGGGTATTTCGACGTAATTTGTCTCGATAGATCAATTCTCACCGGATATTTCAGACATGCTGTCTTGTTCTATGCTACGCACTAAATAACTAGTGCATCCCATCATGTATACATTTTTATGTTTGTAAATGTTAAATTTCAAAAATGTAAACATATTGCGTTTTATTAATTATCATTGTAGAAAAATAAAAAAAAAATATCAAAATTATAGATATTATTGAAAAGTATATCTAAATTATAGATATTATAGTTAAATTATTATTTAACTACTATTTTTGACAAATTTATTGCGATTTTGATTGTTCAAATCGAAATGTATTTCGTATCTGATGCCAAATTTTCTATGAAAAATAAAACATTCTCGAATTTATAGACATATGTAAGATTCTTTTAGATATACCTATATATCAGTCGAATGGTTACTGGGAACCGTTTGAAAAATGATCAGTTTCCGATTTCTTCATTTACGTACAAGATTAAATCTGAGAAAACACGAAGACAATGTGTAACATTCTCCAGTAGTTAATCGCCATAAAATTAAAATGTATCACCTATTTAGCGATTACCTCTGAAGAAATTAACGTTTTTGAATAAATTGATTTGAATCAAATGAACAGACAATGAGTTTCCATTTTAGTTTACACAGCAGCTGCAAATCTGATTCATAATTCAATTTTTATATTTTGTGACAGTTTATTGAATTCCTTACAAAATATCGATTTCTTAATGTTAAAAATAAATTCAATTCCCATTGCTCTACGCTTATCTATCTATGCTTCTAAGTATTTTTCTATCGATTTGTAAACCTATTTAGCTAGAAAAGTAAATTCAACTTAGATAAAATTTTATCGAGATTATTTTGTTTTTAATGTACTGTTCCTAATGAGAAAATATTTATTCTTCCTGCTTTACAGTGAAGATGAAGTAAGTCCTATCGAAGAAAATTAAGGAAAACTACACAAGAATAAATGTATTCAAGAATAAATATATTCTTCTACAAATGTTGAAACATATAGAGAAGCTACAACAGAAATCATTAAAGAAAAATCATAATCCAAACAAATAACTATAGAAGATATAAAACAAAGAATAAGAATTCATTCTTATTCTTAATTTTATATCTTCTCTAGACGAGAATTGTGATAACTTTGCAAAAAGGCTGGAAGTATTAGAGACCCGATAAAGAATTGAGATCATTGAATGGACGGTGCAGAAAAAAACAAAAACAAATAGAATATTAAGAACGTAGGAACATAGAGAAGACGTGCTGTCACTTGATCCACAATATTAGCCCTCCACCCTAATTACTTTCTATGTTAAATAATTTACTTGGAATTTGGACACTGCGAGTGCTTTCTCTTTTTTGTTTGTTGTTTTTAATCCGACAATTGTATTGTATCTTCAGTCTTTTGATAATACAGAACAGGAATTAGTTTCTATTTACTAAGACGAGAATTGTAATTTGGGAAAATGATCCTCGCCCCAATTAAAGGAATAAACTCTTTACAATTTTTTAAAATAAAGCAAGAAAGACTCATAAAATCAATCAAATATTTCTTTTACTTTGGCAAGAAAACGTTTTTATAGTTCTAAATTGATACCCGGTTAGAAAAGGGTTGTTCTTTTCCTGATCTTCTCGAATGGAGTGAAACTACCGAATCGTGAGACTTGATTTGCTATTCGAGGCACGTTGAACTTTCATGAATAGAAAAACAAAAAAGAACAAGTGACGAAAAATGGTTTCTTTCACAATTGCATTCATACGACAAAGATATTTTAAAGGTATTTTTCAGATATTTACTGAAATTCTTGAGCGCTTGCCACATCTACACTTGAACATATCCACATATGTACATACATATCAGTATGCATGCAGATCGTTTTCGATTAACTATTTGTTTATTCATCTATATACATAAATTAATTCAGATTGTTTGCTTTAATTCATAAATACATAAAAACACTTTTACAAACACACACTTTTATGAATACATGCTATATATATATATATATATATATATATATATATATATATATATATATATATATATATCAAAGTTTGCGATTCGCAAATTCATTTTGATACTTGTCATGTTTTCAATTTACGTCTGTGGGCATATATATAATATATATATATATATATATATATATATATATATATATACATTTTCTATACGTATGTGTGCGCGTAGACGATATTATATTATTTCTGAATTATATTATTTCTGTTCTTTTTTGTGCCTAGATCATGAAAGATTTACCTTTATGTACATAGGTATAGATAACGCCGTTGCCTTCTCGTGATATTCATTCGCACCTACAACACAATACATAAAACCAAGCAAATTGTGTCCTTTTAATATTTGAAGTCTCCTACCGCTATCCAGCTTAGAAAAGTCATGATTCGATTGCATTTATGTCCACGTAGGTATAAATTGGAAACAAGATAAGAAATGAAATGAACGTCTACAAATCCAGACTCAAAATATACGCACGCACGCGCGCACACACATACACACAATGCTTTTATTTACTCTCAAAGAAACTTTAGCAGATATAGGAAGCACAATAACGCCGTTCGATAGAGCAAGTTATAACCTACAAATCGGTATTTTCCCAAAAAGTCACAACCATTGGGTATGATTTCCACAGTAGCATTCATTTCTTGGTACTCTATTGTACACAGTCACCTGAAAAGTCGCTTGAAAAAGGCATCTCTGTCACCATTTCTGAAACATATCGCCCAATGCCATACTTTGTTCACATTCACTCTTCTTCGTAAGTCAGATGCTATCTTGACATTCTTTCAGCTGCTACATATAGTAAGGCAAAAACATTATTTATTGTGTTGCTATCGTCTTGATAAACTAGTTTAGGGATTTAAAATTGTTATCGATACTTAAAAATTTAGTTTCGTCCGTCATTACGTGATGTCTCCTTAATCAACTAGCTTCTGATATCTATGCCAACAAGGAAGAAAATGTGTTCTTATTACGAAGAGTGGTTGATAATTTCTTCAAAACCTTTCTTTTTGCTTCGTTAGGTCGTAGTTATGTGCCCTTGTTTGCTACTATTGCATTTTTTTGATTTTCGACTTTCGGTCATTTTGTTTCTATTCTCTTTTTCTCGAATTCGTTAAATATTTTAGGAGGACTTAAAAGTAATTTAAAAATTAACAAAAGTAAAGGTGAATAAATGATCTTGTCGAATAATGACATTTTAAAGAAAAATGTCTAAGGTGAAACAAAGAGCCCAAATATTACTTTCTAAATTCTGGATTGCTCCCATCAGATTAAAGTGATTTTATCACAATAATTAAACATTTCTTATGTTTGTAAATCTAAATTCGGTTATTTTGGAATCATTTTATTAGTTGCGTCTTCAGAATCTGAAAGGCTTCTATAAGTTTTTAGTTTTCTTAGCTTTGGGTTAAAATTTTTAATAGCGTGGAGATTTTTTTGATGTGCCATCAAAAATATGATATAGTTAATTCCCTCTTACAGTTGGTAGGAAAAAATAAATGTAACTTCGTATTATTTCACATTGTATTTTTATACGGTTGTTCACCTAAAACAAAATCTAAGAATCCCTCATAGTAGAGAGTTACTAAATAAGGTTTTTATAATGGCCTAAATAGAAAAAAAAAGATCTAGATATTATGAGGATATGTAGGCTAGATAACAGTTGACGCTAGACTTAAAGAAAGGAAGATTGCAGTAATCAAGGAAGCATCCTCTCAGTAGTGTATTTTACTTTATGTTCTTTATGTTATATTCAACAGAAGAAAATATGGATTCTGTGAAGGTCTGAACGGGTGGAACAACAGAATGTAGCTCGTTTGGGCAACATTTACCATAAAAATTGCAATGGACTAGTGAGAGAGTAGCAACGTTTCTTCTCTGGGAAAGATGTGGGCTGAAATTAATTTATCCCCCACCCTTAAATGCTTTTGAACTCTGTCAAGGCTGGAAAGTGAAGATTATGCAGCTCTAACGCAGATATGGCTTGATCAGATTCATGTAAAGATAGAACATAGCCTGAGGAGTCGGGTACTTTTTGGTGCAGTCGAAGAAACCGATCATGTTTCCAGTATCTTTATCAATGGATAGTGTATATACGAGTTCTTGAGATAAGTGGTGAACCCGAGTTCCAACAGACGTTCAAAACAGGAAAACCTATTGAGAATATAACTATTCATCAGGACTGGAGAAAATTCAGGGTAAACTCGGTGATGATGAAAGGTTACTAGCTTGGTTTTGGAGGAACTGAATAATACAATAATACAATCCAATCTTTCCCACATTGAGCTTGCAATAGAAGAGATCAGGTGCTAGACTAGGGTCATTTAGAATTTTAGAGTTGCACTTATAAACTGCCTGCATATAAATTACAAATTATTTGAGAATGTTCTTTGGCAGATCGTTAATATAAAGCTGAAAAGGTAAAACCGAGCAGAAAGCCTTGCGGGATGCCTGGGCATCAGAGGACTAGCCATTAGCGACGATTTTTATGGACATAGCATATAGGAAGGACTTTATAATTGAGAAGTTTTATAGCAACCTCATATCTATACCGCTCTTTGTCAAAAGCCTTTGAGAGATCTCAGACGAGTTGAATTCATTATGAAGCGCTTCAATGATTGTATGCTTAATGATAGTTAAGATATCAGCAATGGAGCTAGAGGAGTCAAATAGATACTGTTTGGTGCTGAGTGGGTTGTTTCGGTCGTGGGATCAACAACTTTCTTGTTTGCTGATACTAAGGCGGCTGATGATGTGATACTTTGCATCCTCATAAAACTGACATACAGCTAACACCTTTCTTATACTTTGGGAACATTTTTCCTTCAGGCAGAGATAAAACAACATTGCCAAAATTGGAGATAGGTTTGGGTTAAGGTTCTTAAAAACAATCGTAGGGATTCTTTGAGAAATGAAGTCCTTTGACGTGTGAAAATGTCCCGAGCTATTGCGATATAGAAATATCACATTGTCCTCCATGAGAGAGGAGAAAAGTTAATTGCGAAGAATGAATTACCCAGGACCATTTATAATAGAAGTCATTCACTGTTTGCCTATATTGTTTTTCAGAACTGGTAAACAACATTGGTTACGACGGCTTGTACATAGACGTTTTCTCGGACACCCTTCTGAAAGTTGTATGGCGCAATCTTATACTGCAGAAAATATCTCTGTATAAGACGTGAATAATTATACTGAATACTTTGCGTCCAAGGAAAATGTTTTATTTACTTGTCAAACTTCAAAATCTTTTCGTTACAAACAGATACGTATAAAAAACTAATTATAATTTGTATTTATTCTGTGTACTATAATTCAAAATATATGTGAGATTAAATAAGAATTTCTAATATATATATATATATATACTATTCCATGATAATTTTCCAAGTTATTCAAGATGATATTCGCTCTCTCTAACCTTCTAACTTATGTCCTAGAGCAACAAGTGTTACATTTATATGCTACCATTCCATTACTTTTGGTACGTCAACGTAATATGTTAGAGATATGTATTTCCTTTGATGCGTATGTTCGTGAGAGATTACAGAACAGTCATGGAATCAAAACATTGATAAAAGTGTACTTTTTCCCTTTCACTTTCTGAACAAAATCTTCCACTTCGCATAGTTTTATGGATGAGATATCAAATCCTATTCCAGGTAGATGTAATCTCCTGAAATGGCCCAAGGGAATATAGGATTGTGTGTATGTAAATATATAAGAGTGATATATGTGGAGAGAGGTTCATTAAATGTTCCCTACAAAGATTTCTATGCAATAGCAATTTACTTCCCTTTCATAAGTTTGAAAAACTCACTGTTATGGCGAATGATTTTTTCAAAAGGTCAATCTCGAGATTAGGTTATAAAATCATTGATTAATACAAATGATGAGAATGAACAAAATCATACTGAATATTTCTGATCGCTGATTCGAAATGATCAACTGGAAATCGATATAAATCTATATTGCACGTCATAATTTAAAATTAATACTTTAACGAGGTATATACACACATCAGTTGCAAACTATTTTCGTGAATTCAGTCCTTGATTTTGAAAGAACTAAATACAAATGAAGAATTTTTAAATTCATCATTTTTGGAATATTTTAACACTTCATAATTTCAGAGAAGAAATTTATTCTTATAAAATACCTTTTTGTTGCTCATGTAGGAATGTGTAGAGAATACAATCGTTTAAAATAAACTGAATTAGTTCCTTATAGGCTGGATCGATTGCATTCAATAATATGCTAATGATATCTTTAAAATACCACGCCTACTTGTCACTGATTATGATTGGCAATCGGTTTTTAATGGCTATTAGCTAATATCAGCTCGAGAACTCTTTGGTTCTGGAAAAGTCACACAATATATCGATAATAGTTTGATGTAACATGCAGAAGACAATTTATGAACCCAAATCTGAGAACATTTGATTAGCATGTATAATTGTGTCGTTGGCTTTTTTGTCATGGTGTTCTTTTTGCTATCGTTCATTTCTTGACAGTCGACAAATTTTCTTGCTCTTGCATTGGAGTATATCTATTTATGGTATTAACAGATGGTTAATGCTTTATTTTTCTAACCAAAAGATTGATAGGCTAAAACTAAATTCTTCTACAACAATTTCGATTTGTAATTTTTCATTATCTGAATCCTAATCACGTCATGGTTATTCTTCAGGTTTTCGCCTAAAATGTTTCTCAACAGTTTTCAAAATTATCGCTGCTTTTTAGCTTTCAAATTAAGTATTAAGAAACAAGAAAATTCTGTTAGAAACAAAGGAAAGATTGCTGATCTGCTATGTAATATCAATCCTCTTATATGGCAGTGAAAACTGGGGAATTTCTACTAACGGAGAGACTTGAGGTAACAGATGTAAACCGGAAGCTGAAAACATAGTGGAAGGAGCATGTAAGCTACAAGTAAGTTTTAAGGAAAAAGCAACAAAAAGATACATATAGTATCAGAAATAAATTTATATGAGACATAATGAGGAAAAACGCTTCGAAAGTTGAATTCATGGTAGATATTGAAAGCAAGAGAAACAGAGGAAAACGGCAAGTAACGTACGTAACAGGTTTCTGCAAAAATATAAGGGTTTAATCAAGAGATAAATATTACTTATAGCTATGAAGGATAGGATGGTTTAGAGAGCCATAATCATACACATCTTAATTTTTCCCCCTACTTCTCCATCTCATAAATCTTATTCTCTCTCCTAATTTTCATTTTACTTTTGCCTCTTTTTAATTCTTATAACTTCCCGTTCGTTCATCCGCCTCCTCCTCCTCCTCATTTCATATTCATCATCTTCATAATAAATATCAACATGTTCTTTGCTTTCTGTATATATTTCCTGAATATTTATGTGATAATCTCTTTCACAACCTTCAACATTCACTATTAATTGTCCAGTATCAAATGGTTTTATTTTATTCATTTTCTAAAATGTCCATCATTTTAACATTTATTCTGGTCTCTTCACCCAATTTATGAATGATTAGAACCAACAGATATTCAGCAGTTGCAATTAAACAGCGGCCATTGTTTGTCTTGTCTTGTGGAGCAGAGGCTAACAGCTGGTTAGTCAATTTAACAGGATCGAAATCATCGCGGCCAGTTCGATCCTCGCCCAAATACGCATGACTTTGCTCAAGTCTAACCTGTTAACTAGTCTAGCAGGTCACTCATTTTTTAGGTCGTGAGTTCAAACTTCACTCGAGACGCAATTTCTGCATGAATAAACCTAATAAATACCGTTAACAGCAAAAAGATATATATTTGGTAAATTTTTACTATTACACACGTCTCCATTATTGACCTAATGCGCATTATGAATTACCCCCACTCTACAGTCATTGGCCAGCGGACTAGTTAAGGGACATAGAATAATAGTCGGGATTAGACGGGTGTAGTAGTAGAATAACGACACATTTTCCCATAAATGACGGAGCTGTTCAGATTGAAATTACCGCATTATTCTTGTCTAAAACGAGAAACCCATTTTAATATATTTTTTTATTTGTTGGTAATACAGTTTATTAAGTAAATATTTCATTTATTCGCTTCACGATTCTAGTGGCTATCCTCAATAGGGATCTCTGCGCTGGCTTACAGGCTGATACAACGACAGATGTTGCGTTGCAGCTCAGACCAGGCACCAAGTTGACAGGAAGCAGTTTCTTGCAGTCAAACGCTTGTAGCTTAAAAATTACCCTTCGGTCAGATCGTTACCCATGAGTGAAAAACAGAACATTTTCTAGTAGTAAACCAGATTTTATTCTTAGGTATTACTATAAGCGAGCGAAGGCGGATTGAGATGTAAGTGAGTGGGGAGGGTCGCAATTCAGCTGATGTGGTCTTTCTGCGTGGCCGGCTTCGTACCTTCGGTTTTCCTTTGCGCGGGATGGTCAGCTTTATAGACAACAGTTTTCTTTGTCTTGTCATCTTCGTCAAAAAACAAAACAAAAAAAAACCAACAAAATAAAACAAAAGCAAAGAAAAACAAACAAAAAATTAATCTTCCTTCCGTCACTTTCTCTCAGTCTTGCTCTTGTACTTTGAAGTTGACTCCAGTTACTGATAGCCATAGGTCGAAAGTAAATGTTCCATATCGAGTTGTCTTAAATTTAACTCATATTACTAGACAGACAATTTTCTTTGGTTTCTTTTTGATCGTTTTATTTCAAGGGAGGGAGTTTATTGTAGTAGACATTTCTTAGAGGAAGAGAGAGAGATGGGGTAGGCGGAGAGAGAAATAGAGAGAGGGAGTAGGCAAAGAGAGAGAGAGAGAGGGGGTAGGCAGGTAGATAGATAGAGAGGACGGATGTCAACAGGACGATCAGGAGTTATCTCTGCATGGTAGTTTCTCTCACTCCCTCTGCTGAAACAACGACACGCTAAGTTATCTGGGAGTGGAAGACATCTTCATTTATATATAAGCGCGAAAACGGTCAGTACTGTTGAAGCAATAGAGAAGCGAATCTTATGGGTGTGGAATCTTGGCATTTTAAGAATCTATCATTGCCAGGATTCACCACCCATGAGTTCAAACCACCTCCCCAGGAGTTCGGGTTGACAAACTATTACAGTAGGCTTTGCTATTTTTGTTTTGCCTACGAATTCCGTAACATTTTTATTTTCAAATGTTTCAACGTCGTAAAAGAGACGAAGCTGCAGTAGTTGTAACTTCCGCATTCGTTGTTGAGTGAAAATTAAGATTCGGTTTAAAGAAATTGCAAGTAAAATCTCATTAATCAATGATAAAGATTTGGAGATTATGGTTGACAGTTATCTATAAATTTAAGAGAAGTTGCAATGTATTTCTAGTACCAATTAAATACATTTCAAATAATTTATGAACAACTTAGGTTTCCTAAATGAGATTACTCTTTTAAAATAACGTTACTAAAATAAATAGCATAACGGTTATCGGTGGGGAAAATGGAATCGTTTAGTAGAGATCAATTTCCGGCTTTGTCAGTTGAGTCCTTTCGCTTTAATGTCTAGTGAAAGGCTATCTCTTCTCTACAGATTAAATGCCAGAACCGATTGATTTTATGTAGAAGAAAGAGGAGTTTGAATTCAAAATCAACGGGAAACCACTTCACTATTTTCTCTTGGGAATCATAGCAATTCACAGTTAATAAAGAAACAGAATCTGTGTATAGCCATAAACTCTTAACGTTCCCAACAGACGTGACAAACATAGATTTAAGTTTAATTCCAATGTGCTGATTTCTTTCTAACTTCTCTCAGTTGTTCAAAAATAATTTCTTATCGACAAGAACTTCTTCAGTTAGGACCAACTTGAAGAAACCTTCCATAAATTTACCGGTTTTAATGAAAGATTTCTTTAATATTTAAATGAAAATTTGCTGTTATTGTATAAAGATATATACAGAATGACGAGGGGAATATTTTTTTAATCATTTTACCCCATGCAAGGCAGTAAAGCCACAAAGAAACAAAAGGTTACTTACTGAGTGTATAAGAGTGAATTTAAAGTTTTGAAGATCAAAGTTGGTCGGAAAGCATGTGGACGGAACGCAGTTGCACAAATAAGAAGTCCAATAGAAGAAACTGTTAGCATAGAACTTACGGTTAAATCCAGCCAATCCAACTGTGAATTGATGATACCTTGTCACCAATCTAGTACTGACCTTAAATTCATAAAGTCTAGATACCATAGTTAAGAGTTCATCTGAACAATTACCATGAACGCATTTATAGAAAAGGCACAGGGAAACTACATTACTGTGGTGGGCAAAGTGACTGAAGCCAAGACACCAGGTCAGGAGCAATAATATTGTTGGTTCTTCTTTGGATTTTATCAAGAATCTCTAAATATACAACAGCAGCAAAAGGCTATATGTGGCATCAATATTCAAAGCATCGGCGAATGGTATACTTATATGTAAGATTCTGAAGAGAAAAAATTGTCTCGCACGATACAATGTAACAACCTTCTTAGCAAGTAGACCTAGCAATGGATTTAAATGCAAACTTTTCACTTCATGTCATCCGAGAATGTTAGCCTGAGTCACTCTCCTGAGGGTTAGTATGATGGGAGGTAAGAAGGGCTATCTCAGGTGATTTTGATTTGAATTTGAAGAATATATTTGGTTACTGTTTTATGTTGAAAATCTTACTTTTATACTTTTTAAAAGTAATTTACGAATTAATATGCTTCATTTTTACCAAATTCACGAGTCTTGGTGAAAAATATTCTTTTATGCTTTTCTTTGGGTAACTCGCTTATATTGACAGATTTTAGAAGGAATACAGGTTGATGTAAATTGGAGTGAACAATTTTTATCCAACCGATTTTTAGAGACCTTTGATTAAACGGAGAAATTATTGTAAATTAAAAGGAATTAGCAACTCTAAGTCCGTCGGAGTTCGGAATGAAACGGGTAAAAAGGATACGTCAGTTTAGTTAACTGCATTTATGAGATTTCGCTTTTTTGGAAAATCTGTCCTTTTTGGCACTGTTGAATCGGACAGCAAAATCGGACCGTGTGATGGAGGCCAGCTGGGACCAATAGTCAGTTCGTGGTGTCACTTTTCGCATCTAAGCGCAAGGTAACCCCCTTGCTTCTTTGCAAGCATGTATTCTGATCATCTTAAGACAATTTTTTTCAAAAAAGGAGGAATGACTATATGTAGTTAAACAAATAAAAATGTTCATCTCTTCGCTGGTTCTGTTTGGGATGCTTGCTTTTTGCGTTAAATATTATGAAACCAAACTTTTCAACGCTCAATGTTTTTTCACATAAAATCATGAAAAACAGTTTGTAAGATTTTGCTATTTCGTCGAGGTCTTCTAAAAGAATTCACATAAAGAATTCACTTCCATATCGACAAGATTTTAACTGTTCATTATTTAACATCGTTATGTTCCACATTATTTCATATTCCAGCAAAAGACAGGGCAGTAACGCATAGTTACTGAAAGCTTTTATCTTTCATTATTATGAAAAAAATAAAAGCTTTCAGTAACTATACGTGCAATTCTATCTCGATCAAATCAAACTGGCTCAAATTTAAACGGTTATTTTCTTGTTTTCTAATTAATTAGCTCTTTGATTAATTATCTTCATTAATTAATATTAATTCTATGCCCCGCCGAAGAAGTCGCGTGGAAAATTCAGTCGCATAAAAAAGATTGCTCATGAAATATGCAGTTGGTGCCACCAGACTGAAATGTTTTTGGTCATTTGCGAACAGATAAGCAAAGGTCATTTTAAGAGAAATAATGAAATTTACTTCAAAATTAAAAACAATTTCAATCATTTTGAGTTCATTAAAGAGGGGATCAACAACCGCACGTTTCAATCTTTTTTTTCATTTTCTTTTAAAACTAAATATTAAATAATACGATTTAACATTATTGATTATATTAATATAAAGTAATTCTAATATTCATTTTTTAACATTAAATAAAAATATTTAATACTAAAAGTTAATATTTTCTTCTAATTAGTCTCCACATTTTTCCTTCTCGTTAGCTAACTTACATAATTCGGAATTCGTTCGCTTTCCAAACAAGTCGACCAAAATTGCAAGTTAGGACTTTGTTTTCGAAAGTTTGTCATATGAATTTCATAACCTAAACTAAAACAAATTATGAAACAGTCACCAAAATTTGGATTTGTAGATAATATTTAGTTCTATGACTGTTTACATTCTTACAATCTACGGCCTTGCTTTGTTGTAAGCGATCTCTTTTGATTTTCATTTTTTAATTTTCATTCTTTCATTTTAAAACCCCTTTAAAAATAGAAAAAATATATTGGGTTTAAACAAAAGTTCATAGCATTTTTCAGTAGGTGACGTTTGAAGAGTGATTTTGTTTCAAAAGTGACTGAAATTTAACATATTTACTTATTCTGAAAAGCGTCATCTGAACGCGTCATTCTATTATGATCTATCTATCTATCTATCTATCTATCTATCTATCTATCTATCTATCTATCTATCTATCTAGAGACAGCTAGCTGTCTCTTCATATCTATCGGTTCATATCTTTCTATATATCTATTTATTTCTGTTCGTATCTATCTATGAGAAAGCGATTCATGGCAAATTAAATAGGACGAGAAGAAAAAAGAAAAGTGAAGAGCACTGATTTCTGTGATCAAACGTGATTTTCTCTTGTTGCTGAAGGGGCTCAATGAAAACGATTGATCTCTTTTCAAGTAATTGCTCATTTAAATCGAAACGAACATAGGGGAAATCCTCAGGCTTTCATTGGGACGATGTTCAATAAAGCAACAGGAAACGAACATTGAAGGAATCGCAGGAATGAGTGTTTGATAACGAAGACGAATTTGTATCGATATTCATTATTGTGAGAAAGGAGTTTTGTGTAATATTATATATACACACTAAGTTACAGCCATGAAAGATGACACAACATTGTATCAATTTTTCTTGTCATTATTCATTGCTTTCATGCGCCATTCATTTTCTCCAACAACACACACTTATACATGAGGACACTTAAACAATCTTCAGAAAAATGCTTACGTACGTATATACTTTTAATTTCCACTCGGATTAGATTGCTTTGAATAAATGTAGATGGTGCATTTGAAAATCATTATACTGGAATGATTTTTTAAATAATCATTTTTATCCCCAATAAAACCTCTAAGACGCAAAGGTGTGACAGAATGAGAAAAGACATTATTAAGAAGAAAGGACAATAAAAGAACAGGTATTAAGAAGACAGAAGATAAGGATTGACATTGCATTTGAATTTTTGAAGATCAAAGTTGTCTGATGCAAGAAACCGGAAGAAACTTCCGCAAGAGAGACGTACAAACTGTTAGCATAGAACTTACGGTTACATCTAGCCAGTTCAACTGTAAAATGATGAGACTTTACCACCAATCTAGTAATACGCTTAAGTTTATAAAGTCTAGGTACCATAGTGAAGACTTCATCCGAACAATTAAGATGAAAGTTTTTCTTATAGAAAAGACACAGGGGAGCTACGTTAAGTCGCCAAGAATGTGACTGAAGCCGAGAGACGCCAGGTCGATAACATTGCAGATTCTTCTTTGGATTTTATCAAGAATCTCTAAATATATAGTAGGAGCATCAGACCAGTTGTGGCAGCAATATTCAATGCAAGGAGGAATTATTTAGCATGACACAGTGAACCAACCTAGCAGCTTATTCAATGTAATCTTTCCCCTTCATGTCAGCGGAAACCGTTAGTCGGAGAAGGTGCAATGAATCACTATCCTGGAGGTTAGCATCAGTTATGCTGATGAAAAGTAAAAAGCGTTATCTCAGATGACTAAAAGAGAGTAATTTCGTTTTTAAGCTGTTAAAATTAACAAGCTACACCGTGTCCTATATAATCGATGGTAGGTCATTTTTGAGATCAGCTGCCAATTTGACATTATCGAACCGATGAAACTTGGTATTAAGACAGCAATAAATAGTTGTCATTAGCATAGATACCGTGTTCAAAACTGTTGAGATCAGGAATGATGTTGGTGATGAAAATTGGGAACAATATAGAGTTAAGAATAGAGCCCTGGAATTAATGCAAAAATATCTAGAAGATGGCTGTTCAAGATAACTTTCATTGTGCGATTTGTTAAAGACTGAATCAGTTCAAAGTCGTTAATACATCAGCAGTTGACCTAGAGAATTTAGATTGCTTATTGGAAAGACTCTGCAAGGTGAGATGTTTAACAAATTCAGAGCTGATTAGAGCATTTAGTACTTTGCCAAAAAAGGTAGAAATCTATTAGGCTGATACTCAGAAGGATCGGAAGTATCGCACGAGGACTGGAACTACAGAAGAGGCTTTCCATACAAGCAGGAAAGCAAGAAGCAACAAGACATCTATTGTAGAGTTTAGAGTGAACAGGAGCACGTTCCTTAAAGACTATTGCAGGGAAGCCATCAAGCCCACATTCTTTGTGGGAATCCAGTTTAGAGATGATAAGAGAAACCATGGACGGAATTATGTGCATATCACTCAATAGAGACTCGGTTCTAAGGGGAAAGTCATGCAAAGGTAATCCAGATGAGTCAAGAGTAGAATTTGAAGAGAATTTACGAGCAAAACATTCTGTTTTATTGGTAGATGTTAACACCTCAAATTGAGTCACTACTAGTTGCCAGTAGTCACCAGAACATTTTGAGAGGCTATACGGTGCCCCATTCCATCAGAAAATGACTACTTAGCCTCTTGGAGGACACGTTTACAATTATTACGAGAAGACACAAAGCGGCATTAGCTGCGTTCAAAACTATCATGTTGGTACAGCAGGAAAAGTGATTCCTGAGGGCTATAGCGACTGAAAAGACTGGTGTGAACTAAGATTATGGTTCCACCTGTTATTTCCAAGAAGGTACTAAAGCATCGATACCAGCTTTAACCCAGGAAATAATCTCTGTAGCAGAATTCTCTTTTGATATTACTAATTGTTTTAGTTTAGTTTCCATAACTGTTTTATTTCTCATGCTACTGAATTTAATCCACCCCTCTTAAGTTTTCTATTAAGCTTGTTGAATATAAGTTGGCCTGGACACAGTTGTGAAGTGATTTTTTTCGATGTAAACGGTCAAACTAGCACCCCCACCTTCAGCTTTGGGTTTAAATGTGGAGAACTTTTTCTCTTCTCTGTTTTACTTACTGCTACTATTTATTATTATTTTTTTCACATTTTTCTTTTCTAAGTGAAGTGAATTTAATAAGAGGCAACAGGACTTATACTAATCTTAAAACCTAATTAAAAAACAATCTTTTTTTTGTGTGTTGTTTCCCTCACTTTTTCGGTAAGTATTCCAGTCGAAATGTCGGCGACTAAACCGACTACCCCACTCCGAGTTCCGAGTGAGGCGGCTCGTTAGCAAGCCAGTAGAACGAAAAACAAAACCTAACAAAGGGCGGAGGAACTCGCTGAGTCAACAGCCAGCTAACTAGAGGTGGTGTCTCCATAAACCACCATAGAGAAGGCAACGGGAAACCACTCCACTGTCAGTCCCAAGACAAATCATAGTTAACCTAACGGCGTTGGAAATTAGCTCCTCATCTGGTAAGGACCGACATGCGCAGCAGGTGTCACTTGACCGTCATCCAGCGACTGCTAGTATAAACGGCGTAAAGGGGATAAAATCGTCGGAACTTATCTTTTGCCCAGAAAGGAACGACATGAAGGACAGGTGTCACCAGACCGTTTATCCTGCGACTGCACGCATCAAACACAAAATAACCCTCGGGACATGGATGAGGTCCTAGAGAGGATGCAAACAAGGAGGAGACTTATACTTAACATCAGGAAGAGGCAGCTGAAGTTTCTGGGACACACAACGAGGAAGGAGGGCCTGAAGAATCTCATACTCACGGGTCGAATAGAAGGAAAGAGAGACAAGGGAAAACAAAGTGTGGCATACCTGGTGGACTTAAGGAAGTGTCTGACAGAACATGATCTGGGGGAAGAAGCCGAGGGAAGGAACTTGTTGAGAGTTTTAAAAAGGGATAGAGGGAGGTGGAGAGCCTACGTACTGAAAGGACATGTCACGTTAAAAGAAAAGAAGTAGAATTCTCAATAGGAAAGTTAAGGCTGTCACAAATTCAATCTTAATCAGTTCTCTGGTAACAGAAAGAAGTCTTGTAAATAGCATGTTCTTGTTTAATAGGTGACACAAATGATCTATCAACAGTTACAACAATGTGATCCGAATTGCCAAAAGGACAGAGTTGTGATGCTCGACAAGAGCTCACAGAGGATGTAAAGAACAAATCAAGTAAAGAAATATGTTCATCAGTTATATTAGGGAAACGAGTAGGGAAATTTATTATTTTACCGAACAACGAAAAAGTTGAAAATTTGAATATCAGCAAGATCATTAATATTAGAATGATTAAGCTATTGACGTGTTAAATTATTAAGTTGGGGATATCAACAGGTTACAGGGAGACCAAAAATATTTGTTCAATCTTGCATAATATATATTTCTCTATATTATCATTATTATATTTATCATTTGTTATTTTTCTTTATTATTCGTTATTTTTTTATGTTGATATAATAATAATAATAATAATTATTATTATTGTTATTGTTATTATTATTGTTACCATCATTATTAGAGGTAACTTTACCATTCATCATAATTAATAATATATCAATTATTATCAATATATCAATAATAATATCACAGCTAATATTACCATTACCATAATTATAATCGTTAATAACACAGCTGTAGTTATTATTAAAAAATACAATCATCGCCATCTCTACAGACAGAACCCAACTTAAACCATGTGGTGGTAGTAGACCCAAATCAATGAATTTGGGTGTACGTATATATGTGAATGTGTGTGTGTGTGTGTGTGTGTGAGTACGTGTGAGCATGTCTGCCGGCGCAAACAGCCGACCTGAAAAATGTCAAAGCCTCTCCCACCTGTCCCCTACTAAGAGAACATTGGTACACTTATGAAACACCACAATCTTGACACTGAAATAGTTTTTTTTTTTTTAAACTTTTCACCCCAAGCAAGGTGGGAGTGTCACTAGCACGCAAGGGGTTACAGAGAGTGGGAGCAAGGGTAAATCGGCGTGAAAGAGGAAAGGATGAAGAGAAGGACGAGGAATTAGATCAAAGCATCTGAAGATGTCGACTGACATTGCATTTGAATATTTGGAGAGTATAGCTATCAGGGAAGCAAGTAAGAGGAAGGGAGTTCCACAGACGGGAAGAGCGAGACATAAAGCTATTGGAGTAGAAAAGATGGTTACATTTAACTCTTTCGACAGTGAAAGGGTGGGACAGAGATGCCGACCTAGTAGCACGTTTAAATTCATGCAGTTTGGGAACTAGCGAATAGCTCGTCGGAGTAGTATTTGTAGAAAAGACAGAGGGAGACGATGATACGTCTGTGAGAGAGCGACTCTAAACGAGATGCCAGATCAGGGCCAATCACACTGCATATCCGTCTCTGGATTTTGTCGA